AGACCTCCCATACGAGCTGGAAGCGAAACCAATTGTCGCTCATGGATGGACAAGCTACGGTTATCGAGGAGTGCAGGAAGGAGCTTTAGGTTGATCGTGTCGTCAACAAGCTGCATCGCGGTCTTGATACCTGGAACGGCACGAATGTGGTAAGTAAATCTGTGCCGAAAACCTGAGACAAACGCCGCGTATGCTGCTTGGGGTTGGAATTTGGCAATTTCACTCAAAACGTGAAGTTGCTGGCACCATTTACTAACTAAAGAACTAATATACTTATCTTTTCCGTAATCCGATCCAAGATATCCTCCAAGGTACTTATGCCCTTCACTTGAAATTTGTACATTAGTTCTAGCGAAGATCTCAATGGCAGTCTGCTCCAGGTGTGGCTTCACAATCAACCAGGATTTACCAGCTCTCGGGTAGTAAACCAGACTCGGACCATGCGCGGCAATCTTCTCCCACCAGGCACGCAGTTGCATTAGCTTACCTGGTCCACTAAGGTCATCCGCGTACGCAACATGCCTTACATCACTAGCTTCATCAGATTTAATCATGAGCAGTGGAGTAATGGTGACGGCGTATAACGGCATGGCTAACGGATCACCTTGCGTGGTACCTTCAGCTGATGCAATTTCTTTACCACCTTGCACGAACAATCTTGAAGCTGTTACATAACAATTGAACGTATAAACAGCCATTGCGGGACAAATGTACTGAATGTTATGTAACATGATCTCGCGGTTGATGGAATTGAACGATTGGTGGCGTCTACCAGTAAGACAGCGTCTGTTTCTTCTTCTTCAAAAATCTTCGACATGGCGTGAACAGCAGCCTCGCAGCCTGATTGTTGTCCTGCACATAGCTGTAAGTCTCCTGCGCTATCCATGATTTGTGGTTTGATGGCAAAGACAATTGATTTTCCAATCATCCGTCGTAGAACCTCTCCAATCCCAATCGGTCTGACACCAGGGTTCTTGTCCAGAGGTATTAAGCGACACGCTAAGAAGGCCTCTAAGCTGGTGGTCTGATCTTCTCCAATAACAACCTTCTGGGTTGCAAGTGTTCTCGCCATTAACACTATGCGGATCGTAGATCTTTGCCAGCATCTCCATAGTTGCGAGACACCAAAATATGCCGCCATCCAAGTGCGTTAAGACCTGAAGGACCAGCAGCACCTTGAGTCCTCAATGCTGCTTTTGCTATGGCTGTCTCGTCGATGTTGGCGAATAACGATGGATCGACATATGGAATTTCACCATCAATCATGACGGAATGATCCTCAGGTTGTGCAGGTGGATGTTTCTGCAAGAGGTCCTTGTACACATCGTCATTAAGAGGAAGAACTCCACCACATGATTGTTCATCCAACAAACGTAGAGCTGCGTTCACTTTGCCACGAAACATGAGACTAGCGAAGGTCTTGGAAAACTGTTCATATGAAACCTTCCTAGTAGTCAGTAGTGTCGACTGGATGGTTCTGCATTCCCAAAGTAACCCATCAAAGTTCCCTTGTTGCCACAAAGCCATGCGCCGAGACAGACAAGTCACATGGTCTTTCGATCTCGATTTGAAACTCAGTAAGTTTTAAAGAAATATCATGGAAGATCTCCGAGTTAATGTTCCAAGCGTTAACAAGTCTCTCCAGTTCCCTGACGTATGACTTTCCAGCAGCTCCATTCGGCAACATAAACAGATTTTTGCGCCAAAAAACCACCTCTTCATAGGCTGCGTTAACAACTTGCTTTAGATCGTCTTTAGTGAGGCTGCCCCAAACACATGGTGATCCGCTATTTTGAGAACTTGAGGGAGTAACCGGATCAACAACAATAGAACCAGGCATACTTGATGTTTGTCCATCTTGTTGACGCGCTTCACCAGTTGCGTGTTTTTTCCTGCATGAATTTAAATGTAGCGACCGTCCTCGTTCCGAACCAAATTGTCTCGGGCACAAATTACATTGAAATGCGCGCTCTCCGTCTTTGCTTTCTGGCGGCATAGTTTCTAATTAGCGTGCGTCGTCACCAACCAATTTACCAAATCACGTAGCACACGGTTAACGGAATAACGTTCGCAAATATAATTTAACGGTCCAAACTCGAGAAATAGCAAAATATTTGCGTAAAAATTCTAAAAATATATATATAATAATTAATAACCAATTCGCACTCACAGAATTCACAGTTGAAGTAGCACTGGAAATTATTCACGCTAAAAGCAATGAAAGCGTAACCACTCCAATGACCAATGTTCGATGTCCAAATCTTGATAAAGTCACAAAATAAGCGAAAACACCAAGATAACAAAAAATAACACCAATGTGTTTTCAAGATATCTTACTTAAGTAATAACGTAATAATGTTTCTAAAAATTTAGCAGTAATTGTGTAAAATTTCAAATGTCACGGAGCACTATTTTTTAGCGTCTTTACGCCATAGTGCGCGTGTCTCTCTGTGTCAATTACGTAATCTGATTGGCTGTTTTTGTTCTCGCTGTTATATATATATATATATATATTATATATATATATATATATATATATATATAATTATTATATAATATATATATATATTAATGCCTACATTGCCTGAACACTGTCAGGCACGCGAGTTGCCATTGGGCTGCCTATGGTCAAATATTAAAACAATAATAAAAGATGTAAAGATCATCACAGCACAGAAAAAGTTGGTGAAATAGGAACGACTCGTAGTTTATTATCTTTGAAGTGGTAGGTGTCTATATTTTGCTTATTCAGTGTTTGCTGTAAGAATGCATTGTTATTTTAACAAGTGCGAGCTTGGTATGTCGTTTTACAATGAGCTAACTGAGCGTTTAAGGCTTTACATCATCGCTTAAACTTTAAAAAGAGTTCTCCAAGTGTACTTCACAGTTTTGATAAAACAAATATCACTTTGCAGCTTATATAGTCGCGAAAATCATTGAATAAAATAAATTATCGAAAAACAACATTCGACCTTTAGTGCTTGTAGGGTTATTATAATTATTTCTGCTGTTTTGATGTTTTGAAGGTTTAGCTATAGAAAATTTAACACTCACCTAAAATGCAATGTATGTAATGCAGCAGGCAAGCAGGTTATTTCTGTTCACCTTTACGACTGTCTTTCTTTCCGAAAAATTTGCACGAGTTATTTCATAATATCAGCGTAGAAAGTTAGGTCTGGGTAGCGCACGAAATATATTGCTTCGTTTAAAATGGCGAGGGGTTGCTGCATGCATTTATTTCCAGTATTTACATTATTATCCGACGAATCCGGAAGGAGAAAAATTAATGTCAACAAACGCGTCAACATTTCTCCCCGACCCATCTTGTTTTCACAAAACATACAAGCACAATCTATATTGTTGCTAGATTATCAAATTTGAGAGTTAAAATATTGCACTGTATGTTTATACCTAACGTAAGAATAGGCTAGGTTTTTTAAGCACAATTGATTTAATGTAAACGTTGTGATTGAAAACTGCTTTTTAGTTTAGGAGTTTTTAGCGAGAGATCTTATTGACTTGCTAAATGAATGCAAATTGAAGATGATTTGAGATTGACCAATATTTAAATATTCAATCTTTTTTAAATTTGTCCACGATTTATATTATTTTAATAATTGTTTTCGTGAAGATATTTAGATTCTATTTTTCGACGTTTCACTTTAGTTCGAGTTTAACAGACGGCGCAGCATAGACGTGTTAGTCAATGGTGAGCGGGTCGAATTTGATGAACAAACAAGATTAGACTTCACCGGAGTCTTCATTGTTAAACAAAATCAGACAAAATTTGGTACATACTTCACATCAGGAGTAGCTATTGTGGTCACATCTGTAGAAGATTTTCTTACTTATCAAATTTCAGTACCATTAAGATTCAAAGGTAAAAACAGGTTTCATTTTACTAATAAAAAATCGTATGGTTTGTTTTAAAGGAATGAGGGACGTTTCGACCAAATTTCATCACCCCTCTAAGCGATGTCTTAATACATGATTGAGTGATTGATTGGTTGAGTGAACTATAACTAAGTATTATTTCAAGTCCATTTCCTTCGCTCATATAATTATCAGGGAGACATGGTCAATTAATCCGAATGCTTTCGTCTGAGGAATGTCATCATCATCTTGTCCTTTTCCCTTTAAGGGGAAATTGGGCCTTGAATGAGGAATGTGGGGGCATACATTTGTCAGCGCATCCTCGGTTTTGCTGGGTCAAAATGCGAAAGCTTATGAAAAAAAAATTATTAAAAAATTGTGAGAATTTCCAAGAATAAGGGTGAACATTTTAGCATAAAAACCGCTCATAAAATTACTACTCATTATGTAAAGACTACTTATACAAAAATCAAACTTGTACATTGGCTCAATTCCATTGAGCCTCCTTTCCTCAATAACATTGCGTTTCATACCCCTCGTTATTTCGCATACCTATTTTTTAACATGTATCAAAAAGAGTGAACATTCGCCCTTTGTTAGGAAAAACTGCTGGACTTCTTGGATTTTGGAACGATGACAAAGATCTAGAATTTTTATTGCCTAATGGCAGTTTCATTGATACAAATTCAAGTTATCGAACAATTCACCATGAGTTTGGCCAGAAATGTAAGTTATCAATTCTGAAGTGGTTGTTTTCTCGTACCTCGTTATTATCGGTGGAACTAATTATTTGGTTAAAACTATGAAATGAGTTGTACATTTTCTGTGATTAATCACAATCAGAAAAGCATCGACATATTCCCAACGCATAGACCAATCAGCATAGAGAAAATGCAATGCATGGTATGGAAAATTGAACAAGTGTATTTTACACCGGTTAACGTTGACCTATGTATAAATACATTATGATTTTTGGAACTGCACTCGATGCAGATAATATAGGGAGGTTAAGATCGACTTCCGCTACGAGTACCGATACCAATATTCAGTCACGCGCATGCGCAGACGTAACAATCGTCCAAAATGTGATAACACCGGAAGTCGCGAGTACCGTTTTGGGGCTGAAAATGGAAGTGGATAGGTAGGCGAAGTACCGAATTATATTTACTGTATTACTGCATTTCCTGCAGTTTTTTCTAATAATAATATTTAGTTTTTAGTTGTGTAATGTTTCTGCTTTGTTTGTTGAGACTTAGGATTGTGATTAGAGTTTTTGATGTGAATACAGCCGCTATACTCCGCCGTGTTTATTTACTTCTTACGGAAGTCACAATCTTAACGCTTTAAAGTTTCCGCGCTGCCAAACAGTAATACGTCATGTATTTTTGTATCGGTACTGGTAGTGGAAGTAGATCCTAACCTCCCTAATCACTCGAATGCACCAGCATCGCAAAAGCGTAGGTTCGATTCCTGCCGGAGGATCCATAGTTGACTAATTTTTCCATCATCTGTTCCTAGCTTGAATTTGAAGTGTGTATAAATCCACTCGAAATTAAGACCCTTAAAACTGTATGAAATACGTAATCAATTCTCCCTATTAACCACACCCTGACGTCTTTATTTACGCAATGTTCTTCTTTAAAAATGTGTAATCAATGTGTCATTAGCTATACATATATCTAAACAAGTCGTCAAGGTGTAATAATGTCTCATTCCATCTATCCACTTTTCTGAAAACGTGAAATTAGTTGTACTGCTTGAATCTTTTAATCACATTAAGGTAGCGGTCGTTGAATAACCTGCCTTCGGCACAAGATGATATGCTTAAGATGATATAATTAATGTATTTGCCAAAGAAACGAACAACAAGCAATTTCACTACGTATCAAAGAAACACTGATTACTTATAAAAGTTATTGCAAATTTCATCGATAAAAGTATACAGACCTATCAATATTTTTTCAATTTATACAGGGATTGTGGACAGAAACAAGACTCTTTTCGCGTACCATGTCGGAAAAAGTTACGACATTTTTTTACTCCCAACTTCATTCCGGTCTTTCTTGACGAAACAAACACCTTGTTTTCGAGTTTTACTTTGGAGCAAGAAGCAAGGAGTGTATGCGGGGGAAATGAGGAATGCTTGTACGATATTGCTGTAACAGGTAAAAAAGATATTGGTGAGGCGACGTTGGAATCCTTTAATGAAATACAGAAAAGAACAAATGCGTCAAAACTTGTTGAGAAAAAAAAAGCATGTTACACGGCTCAAATTTTTATACAAATATTCAGTTCTATGCAATTCCACTTTATGAAGATGGAAATTAAAGGCTTCGAAATGTAAATGCTATAAACACAAAAATGTCGCAGTTTCCAAATTCACTAATTTCAAAAGTAGTATTGTATTGCAAATTGTTCGAAAATATTGCACCGTGCAATTGTCACCGTGTTAAAATAACTCAAACTGGGACATTAGGTTATCCCGGGCAAAATTTTAATGTAATCAATTAAACTTGCTAGCAAGTTGGTAATTTTGAGTGCAGTTTGGGAATATATATACCACAAAAATATTTGATAAGCGTCAAAATCGCCGCTTCCCTGCCGTAAACGAAGATTAGGATTATCCTTTCGTCCTCTGCGAACGGGCTGGAGAGCTGGAAAGGCAATCCTTTCGTAAGGCTGTTGACTTTAATCACGTTATATTTACGATTTCAATCACTGTAGACATAAAAAAATGGTGAGGGCGGATTTTACCAAATTATCTACATGGTACTCGGTATAGATATGCATATTTGATCATACCTCCTAGTTTCTAGCTTGTGTTCTCCCACAGAGTCTCTTTAATACCATGTATACTAGAAATACATTGCATGCAAAGTCCCCTCGCCTGAAGCAATAAACATATACTTCCATCACTAAAATTCTATAATACTCGTTTCTGCTGAATGATCGAAATTGTAAAGTAAAATCCTATATCTTGGTACAATTATAATCATAATAATTGTGCTACGAATAGTTTTAAATACTATACAATTTTTAGCGAAATTTCAATTACTTTTTAAACAGATTCACCTTTAAAAATAAATACTTTCCAAATCAAAATCGTTTTAACGAAATTGACGAATAAATTCAAAGAGGTTTCATACAATTGTTGATAAATCCACATATTAAACTTACAAAATACTTGCATGCTTTAAAATACAAAATCTACTCATTTACCTGAGTGTTGAAAAACACTAAAAAAATGCTTCAAAATCGTATATTTTTTACCATCCATTTGAATGAAAGTTTTTCTATCCGAAGGCATCTTATTCCATTATATTTTAATCAATTTTACGACTCATCAAAATGAAAGACCATCAAAATGAAAAATATTATTTAAAAAAATATAATTCAATTTAAATAAATTATAATTCAAAATATCAGTTATGCTGACGTGAACCCAAATTTTAATTTAGCCAATCGCACGTTTGTAAACGTTTGTTAGTAACCAGTTTTAACTCGTTTTAAACGCACGCATGCGCAAAACTTACAAAAACGCCCAACGTCCATGACATAATGGCGGACAACTTTCATTTCGCATTTGCATTCCCGGCCGTAATTAAAATCTCCGGGCGGAATTAGTACCCTCGCCCGGTGCTTCGCACCGGCTCGGGGACAATAATTGTCACTTGGTATAAATTGCCTTCTCGCGAGAGCCAAAATCCATGATCCGAACTTAAGGAGAAGCAAGGCTTTTTCATGAACGAGAAGGATTTAGTCACAGAGGACGCTTAAAATTTTTGTAATTATTAATATTATTTTTAAAACGATTCGCTACACTCTAACCCCCATATAGCTAACCGAACCCCATTAATGCAATTCCTCGGTAATAAGTCAAAAATGTTTTTCAGTTGCCAAGCGTATTTTCTTTGGTTGTGATGGAGTCGAGAACAGTGGGAAGAAAGTAGATTTTTGTGGTGATTGTGGAGGAGACAACTCATCGTGCACTGATTGTGAAGGTCGCATAAGACCTGGCTTTCTTAACAATGAAACATGTGGTAGGTTTCTTTTATTATTATCAAACTGAAAATTTGAACATAAATTGCCAGGCAAAGAAAGTTTGTGAGATATTTTTATGCATGTGACAAGACTTAGGTTTACCATTTTTGACCTAGGTTCCTATCTGCCCTGGAGCGAATGGAGTGTTTGCATCGGCGTAGATGAAAAAGTAACAAGAGAGCGAAACCGAACATGTTCGAAAAAAGGACATTGTCGTCATTTAGGTAACAGTATACAACAAGAAAAATGCAAGACTAGTGAGGATGACGGTAAGTTCCAAAATTACTCCGGCATGAGCGACAGGGTTTAAAAATGGCCGAGGTTTTCGTATTTTTGTTTTTTTATCATACAGTATTTAAAAGCTCTCGGCTAATTTGTGCCCAGTACTTGACCCGACGCTCGCTGAAGATCGTAAGTCAACGTATTAATCTACGTTAAAGTTTCGTCTCGTAAAAGTTGTCATGCGCTTATAGTATCTTGAGCGAATTTTTCGAGGCGCGATTTGATTTCGCTTACATTATGCAGCAACTCCTACACGAGGTACGAATAAACCGTTATTTTAATGCTGTTGTTTGGAGATGTTGACGCCTATGGCGCTAAGAAATGTCGCACACGATTGAAGAAATAAGAATATTTACGATCAAGCGCTAACACAGCATGAGCATTCACATTCGTCAATTAACATGCATATTACACATATTACACGCTATTATAAGCTATACGGTTATCATATGAATAAAATTCAAGATGGCGGTCAACATTGACAGCAGCGAAAAGGTTACAAGCAATGACGGATTACAGGGGCGGATCTAGGGGTTGCCAGATGAGTCACGCGACTAGTTCAATCTAAATGCTTAATATATCGCGAACAGCATCAAAAGAACGGTTTATTTCTTCCTCTTGGAGCAATTGCCATATCATGTGAGCGAAATCAAATCGCGCATAAGACAATTAGCCAAAGATTTTGAGCTGTGTACCACAACTCTTGAGAGAAAAAACTGTGACGTAGATAAACACGGTGACATACACTTTTGAAATACTAGCTAGTATACTTCGCGCCAAAACACACTTGCGAGAACGAAAAACGTCGCTGACACCAGAGTAATCAGGAAAATTCTACTTATTACTCTGGCGTCAGCAACGGAGTTGAAAATTTGCCTAGGTTTTGTTTTATTTTTAGTTTGTTTTTTTTCTAGTTTTATTTAATTATTTTTTTTATTATTATTTTTCGTCGTCGCAAGTGAGTTTTGGCGCGAAATATACTAGTATTTGAAAAGTGTACGTGACCGTATTTATCTACGTCACAGTTTTCTCTCCCAAGAGTTGTTTTGCACTGATCGAAATCTAATTTTCCGATGTGCGATTTGATTTAACTCCCATGATACGGAAATTCCCCGAAGAGGAACAAATAAACCGTTCTTAATTTTGATGCTGTTCGATTAATTAGGGTAAGAATATATTTAATACATATAGATTCTTATACTTTTTAAAGTACGATGTGCTTCTGAATGCCGCGATCGAACAACATTTAGGTTCGCAAGGCATCTAAATGAGTATGAACTGTATTGTTTATGTTCAGAAGCTTGGCACGTTTACGGGGTTAAATATAACATGACGCATGTTCTGGCCGATGTTTACGCCAGAACATGCGTCTTGTTATATTTAACTACTAGCTTGAAAAAGCTTCTCAACCAAGTGATATCAGAAGTTTGTTCCCATTTCGCTATGAGACTTACGCCTGTATTCAAAAAGCTCACTCAAACTCACACTCCTTGAGTGTGACATATAAATTTTGTTAATGCTGGTCAATGAGAAAGTTTTCGCTCAATAGATGGAAAGATATAACGTGAATCGCTGGAAATCAAGCCCCTATACGGCTCGAAATACTGCCATTGAAACGTTATGAGAACATTAATATCTCTCTGAGCTTTTACAGAATACAGGCGATATAGTATAAACACGATAAAATTATCATGTCTGACAAACCTGGAAATTCCCGTCGTTAAAAGTGAAACTGCTAAAGCAAAGTCATCATATACTGGAGCAAGTTTATTTCATTCCTTACCAGACGATTTAAAATCTATTTTGAACTTTATAATGACATCCTATAGGAAAAATCTTAAAAAATTCTTTATTGATTTAAATTATAAAGTTGACTATATCAATAATATAGCTGCATTGCTTGAAAGCATGTAGTCATTTGTCAATGTGTTTCCAACCACCAGTCTTAATTTACTGGAGAGGTCATTAAGGAGGTCTATTAGGTAGAATACTTGTCAAACTGTAAATAATGCAAAAAATACCCTCTTGAAAAAAGTTTTTATACAAGCGCGGATTGTCAATACATTTTTCAACTTCGATACTTTTTAATACATATAGTCTAGGACCTGTAAAGAGTTTATATGCATTTAATTTAGGACAGATTATCTCAACTGTTTTAGGGTAAAAAGACCATGCCGGTCAACATGGCATATGTGCCAAAATCTGAATCTGGGACTAAAGTCCTGAAAATGACCACATCCAGAAACGCCATGGTCGACATAGCTCTAAATCCTGAATTATCAAAGCCACAGTCTTTCTGAATTGTTTTTATGGTTCAGAGTTATTGCTTTTAGGGGTGGTCACTAGAGAGTGAAATTAGCCTAAGTTTCATATTTTACAAGAAAATGAATGTTTACCATTCCAGGTCAACTGCTGATTATGCATAAAATTACAGATTCACCTGGCAAAGTCTAATTTTTCCTATTTTCAAATAATTTTTGCCACCTGATTAAAAAATGCTTATTTTAGTACATTTATTCCAAATTCCAGCCAGAACACGATTTCTGCCATATTTTTCAAATTTAATCGCCGTTTTTCGCCGTCCGTCGCAAGTGCCTTCCAAATATTGTACTTTAACACGATTCTAGTTGACTAAAGAATTATTCAACTAATTTTCGATGGGTTTTGAAGTAGTGCCATGTAGTATTTTTTCATTTTTGTGTCCCTCAGATTTCATCAATTATGTCGCCATTGCAATGTTTCGCCGCCTTTTTGCACGATAAATGGCACTTCTTGGTACCCAGCTGAATTTTTTTCACTGTATCGATAAATAATTCATAGTACAATAACAGCTATCCAAAATTTAAAAGCATTTGTCCAACTTGGAAGTAAAAAACCATCTCTCGTTTATTGGGAATGAAATTCAAGTGCGAAAGATTCAAAATAATTTAAAAGTCTAACGCACACTCCAAGACAAATGCTCGCGGGCAACATTGCAGGGGATGTGTTAAATTTTCACGAATATATTTCTGGTTTATTTTTTTAACTTTGTGAAAGCAAGAAATGCAACTTAAACATGGAGACTTGTTAATGTTGTCATGAGGAAGTTTAACAGCAAAACGGACAAATTTTAATGCTGTCCACGAGAACTCGTCGCGGAGTTTGCGCGGATTTACGAATTATTTTGAATCTTTCGCACTTGAATTCCCAATAAACGAGGGGAGTTTTTTTACTACCAAGTTGGCCAAATGCTTTTAAATTTTGGATAGTTCTTATTGTTCTTATTGTACTATCAATTATTTATCGATGCCGTGAAAAAAATTCAGCTTGCTGGGTATCAAGAAGTGGCATTTATCGTGCAGAAAGGCGGCGAAACATTGCAAGGGCGACATAATTGATGGAATGTGAAGGGACACAAAAATGAAAATATGTTACATGGCACTACTTCAAAACCCATCGAAAATTGGTTGAATAGTTCTTTAGTCCACTAGAATCGTGCTAAAGTACAATATTTGGATGGTGCTTGCGACGGACGGCGAAAAACGGCGATCAAATTTGCAAAATATGGCTGAAATCGTGTTCTGTTGGGAGGTAAGTGAAATGAAATATGTCGTATCCCAACAAAACATTGTTATTTCCTAGGAAATTAATAATAAATATACTAAAATAAGCATAATTTTTAATCATATGACAAAAATGTTTAGAAAATAGGGAAAATTAGACTTTGCCAGGTGAATCTGTAATTTTATGCATCATTAGTAGTTGACCTGAAATGGTAAACATTCATTTTCTTGTAAAATATGAAACTTAGGCTAATTTCACCCTCCAGTGACACCCCTAAAAGCAACCATTCTGAACCATATAAACAATTCAGAAAGACTGTGAAAGACTTACCTCAAAACAGTTGAGATAATCTGTCCTAAATGAAATGCATACAAACTCCTTTACAGGTCCTAGACTAATATTCCCGTAGACGGAAAAGAAATATTATAGATAAATTCATTTAACCAGAATACAAGTGATCGTACGAATTTGACAAGTTACGTTTTAAAATGGCTCGGCGAACATTGCCAGAAATTCGCGGTCACGACAATTTATATTTTCGCCAAAATTAATGCGTTGTATTGTGCAACTCCTGTACATTGAATTTACCAATACTTTTCCGACCGTCCAGGCACTGGTATTTTGCCCACCCCCTGTCCCGCAAACTATAGACTAAATGAAATGAATACTTTGGATAACAAAGTGTTGTCTGTACAATATGAGGTTACAATATTTCGTGAAACTAAAACTGCGAATTTATATAGTTTCACCTTTGTGACCACGTTACATGGTTGAACAGTGTGTAAAACTCTACTTCGACTCGGAAATTAGTGTATCACCAAAAAAATACTGCCCCACGTGTAACAACGACATAATACTTGACTATAGTACATAACTCTAAGAGTAAGACAGTAGGAGTGAGTGGAAGAGCCACACCATGCACGACGTTTATTCGAACAATGAAAATAATATCTTTTGACCATTTAGCCGCTTGTTCCCTGTCTTGACCAATAAATTCAAATGTTAACTTTTATGTTGTCTTTTTTACATTACAGACGATCGAAAAGCGTTAAAGTTCTATGCAGCTGTTATTGGTATTCCTGTTGTTGCCATAATTCTCATCATTGCAATCGCTGCATTGTGTAAGCGCTGCTGTTGCAGCAAGATTTCTTCAACTGCTCCAGCCAATTTACATGTCTCTAATCATCAAAATAACTCTTATATTATGTAGTTTAAAGTTATTTCCAGGCAGAATAGCATGCACAGTAATCATGTATAAAATATATCATCTCTTTTATGATGCCTCTCTTTTGAGTTTTGTTGAAGTAAAGAGTTTAAATTTACTAGAATTGAAATATATAAACTTTTACCGAACTTGCACTTGTAGGCTGACATAGGCATTGACAGCCTTTTTTTGTGCTGGAGAATGTAACCAATAATTAATTTTTAGATAAAGAGAAGTGTGAACAATTATTCATAGAACTTCTTTCTACGAATGTATTCCTTTCCTTAATAATTACTAATAAATAAACATAATTAGATATCGTTTTTTATATGCCATATCAATGCGAATAATAATAATATAATGCCTTAATAAATATCGAAACGAGTATAAATAAGACCGCGAGCTCAACGATTGCCAGCGCCCAGCCAATCAGTTCGGCTCCATCACTACCAAAACTAGACCCAGCCGGTTCATATGAAATATGAAAGCCGGATAGCACTATCCACTGGGTAATGTATTTTTTCAATCGCTTTAATATCACCCGCTGTTAGGAATAACTTTAATAAAATATTCATAAATTCGTAAAATTTTCAATATAATTCAACGAAATATGCCTTTCATGCGTATAAACTGATACGAAAAGGCCCTTTAGCTACCAAAGACATTTTGACTACAAAAACTGAGATTTAAATATGACTAGAAATACATGCATGCAGCAACCCCTCGCTATTTCAAACCAAGTACACAATTTCCTGAGTTAACCTGAACTAAACTTATATTATGAAATGACACAAAACTCAAATCAGTCTTAAAGTTTCCATCATTCACTACAAAAATAATCACAAAGCTAGTGTAAATATTGCCCGTTCAATTTTGCTGCATTATACCATGCCAGCAATTAAGTAACAGTTTAAAATCGAAGTTTCAAACGATTAAAACAGTACAAAATCTTCACAGACAAAGAAAAAACTTCGAATGTTATTTTATTATCTAATTGCAGTCAACGCGGGCGGCTAAAAGTTTCAGTATACTAAAATATAGTGTGTATTTTTGATACCAAAATTCAAATTACACTTTCAAAAACACTTTTTGAAGTTAAAGCAAAGGTGTAATAGCCCTTCACAAGTTTATGCGTTTGCAGAAAAAGCTGAAAATTTAACAAATGAACGGCATACAAAGCTGAAAAGTATACAAATACGGCTCATTCTTACCGCGAAACAAGTACGAGATAAACAAAGTAAACACGTACCCTTTGTCTTTGAAAACATTTATAATCTTGCAGATTATGAATTATTCCTCTTACACGGCTTTGTTTTGACTGTATCCACGTTCATCTTTGCTATCTGTCATGCTTCATATATCTTGTTTCTTCTCGTTTTACTTTCTTTGCACAAAGTTTATGAAACGCTTTTACAAAAATGTTTACGAAATGACAGTTAAATTGCTGACGTTCTCATTGAATTACAAACTTTCTGTCTTAGCCAATCAGACCGTTCGTTGATTACCAGTCTACACTCGTTCGCATTTCACGCATGCGCACAAGTACCATGACCATTGAACGTCCACGGTCCACGACATAGAATTTGAGCAACTTTGGATTCCGCTATGTTCTGTCACAATACCCGGATGTAATAAATCTCCCAGCGGAATTAGTACCCTCGCACGGCGCTTCGCGCCGGCTCGGGGATTAAGAGTTGTATACAACCGTCCCAGAACGAATTTTTATATTCTCGAAAAAGGTGGAAGGTTAAATACCGCTGACCCCTAGAATTTTGTAGCGGTGAAAAAAATTGCACATTGCTCTTGCGATCCTAATCATTGTTAATCCAGGTAATTTTGGAGCCGTTGTGGATTATTGCACTGCACACGCTCTTATTTCCATAATCTATCATTGGACTTGAGCCACATGGCGGACGCTATAGAGTAGCTACACTTAGAATATTCCTGCACGGCCAGAAATATATAGGCGCGAGAATATGCGCGATTTAGCGCTAATTTAAGAGCCGCTTCTAAGAAAAAAGTGGGGATCGAATCAATCAAATTTTCTCTCTATATATAACCCATGTACTGTTGAAAAATCATGTTTGTTCAGGTCCAAAAATCATCAACGTATCGACCTTTAGCCACTGAAAATTGGAGGCAACTCGAGATGCCCAAAATATTACAAGAAGGAATACTTTTATGGTGGTCATCGTGTGGGAAAGTACATATAATTATATATTCCTAGCATATTAATGATATCAGTTACCTCCCCGTTCACCTTTCTGATGGTTGCCCATCGGCAAAATTAATGTCCACATCAAATCAGCCCCGTAAGTTAAAGGAATGAAAGGATGCAAACTCGCTTATCAGACTGCTGGAAAGATTTTGTATGCCTTAAAAGCATGGGTTTAAAAGTAAGTTTAACATTTTCATATTAACAGCAAGCGGAACTTGATTGGCTGAATAGCAGAGGCCAGTTGTTCAAAGCTAGGTCAGCGCTAACTCTGCATGGGTTAAATTTTAAACCAGGGTTTTAGTAGAAAACTGCTTCTGAGTCACTGTTCGTTTTAAAACTTTAGAAAATATGGCTTCTAACAGTCCAGAAAATATTGGTAAAAATATATATTCAATTTTGTAAGCAAGTGATTGGAAAAATTCAGATAAAAATTTGCTTTAACCCAGGGTTAAACTAGCCGGGTTTTGAACAACCGAGCCCAGGCGGCGGGATTTTCCGATACTCTGTGCACCACTATGACCACTGTAAACGTATTTACCAACATTTTTCTATGAATAAATTATATAGTCGACTAAGTTATTGGCATGTTTTGTGGTCTGATTCTAAGTCTGATTACTTATTATTTCATTCAACACGGGCTGCGAGGTACCGCATGAAATAAATTGTGCACGAGGGCTATGTTTAGAATTCGTAGAAAGGTGAATTTAGGAGCGGTATCTGAAATTCGTCCTTTTTTCGCTGTTTACCCCAAACCATGCAATTTCTGGTCCTTTTTTATCCTGTGTTTTCACGGTACCGGACGAATTCCCCTATAATATAAGACTGAATTTTTTTTTGTTCGTGAGAAATACAATAATATGAGCATCGTATTGTTGGCATGCCCATTCCTTAACCGCGCTATAGATATATCGGTACAAAAACAAAGCAAGACAAATTTCTGGTGTTTATACGGCACCCGGACGAATTTAAAGCCGGTCGAGTAAAAAGTTTGACCGCGGTCATTTTTTGGGTCGCTAATTCGTCTTGCTAAGGGGGTATTAAATTTGTTCGCTTGCGTGGTTCTCGGGTAAACGAAAGGCCGAACACTTAATTCAGATCGCGCGATTGCAAATTCGTCCTGTGTCATGTAAACGGGGCCGAAATCTTAGAAACGGCCCAAAGCTAGGCCCTGAGCTTATAATTTTATTATGAAATGGCTCAAAAGAGTCGGTAGGATTTATCATTTTTAGGCCTAGGAAACAGAAATGGTCATAAAATTGAGTAAACCTCGCCGGTTCTACTGCTGCATTGAGCAGGCAATTTATGGATTTGGCATGTTCAGTTGATTATATTGCAAACTATTATGTTTATTGCGGATCAAACATTTTATACATTTTTATATTATTTGTATATGTGAGTGTGGTCGTAATACAGATAACATATTATAGTCCTATGACCTATGTATATATACACTTATATTTATTTCCGTTGGCAACAATTTATTTTGCAAAATCATGGGTTTGGATATTGTCGAAGTCAGTATGAGTGCTGTACGGCGCTGATATGCCGAAACAAAGGCAATGCAGGATGTCTTGATACTTGAAGTTGAAGATTTTTCATACGCTAGTGCAGGTCCAGTTATACACCTTTCTTGCAAGTCATCCTTGTGAGACGCTGAAACGCGAATTATCATGCGAATGGACTTTCCCGTTAGCCAGGCTGTCTTGCTCTGATACTATACCAAAGAAATAAATTAATAAATGCAATAAATCCAGCATAAGTTGTTTGAAGCATCGTGATACTCGTTTGTTTATACTTTGGATGATTTGCACTGCCGTATCTCATAATAGTTTATAATGGATACTTACCCTTGTCTTTGTTTTAATAATAAATTCATCTTACCATATAGTCTTTGTTTTAATAATAAATTCATCTGCATCGGTAATTTTAGAACCTATAGTTTTCAGTAGCGTCCTATACAGCAAAGCTCATCTGATGGAACATGCATTATATCTTTGTGCTCAGTTTCACGGGTTATATTAAAACGAAAGGACTTTCAAAATTCTCAGTTCTGCAAGTTAACTAGACGAGCAAGCTAACATAATTATGTTTATGTAGTACTAATAAAGAATTGGATCATACTGCGTAAAACAATACTAATAATATAATGAATGTGGCTTGGCAAAACATGCATTGAAATTTAAATGTATTATTTGATACACATGCAAAATGGCTAAGAAAAGCTTTCAACACTCAATGCATTTAAGCGTATCCTTATACAAATGAATTTAAAATAGGACTTTGGCTTTAGCTTCAGTGTAGTTTCTTCTATCTTGCACAGATATTGCGTATAATTATACGCGCATATAGAGTTTGAGGATTTCCTTCCGGACCCATCAATGGGATACTTCAATATCACCGATGATGACGGCAGCTAGTAGGGTGTATGCAAATATTGAACATTGAGTCATCACTAACTCTCGAACCTTAAAATCCTATTTACAGTAGGCGAGGGCACACATACCTACGGCTACACAAATATACTCATCTTACAAAAGTTTATTTAATGAATTTATGATGTTCTTTGCAAATATAGGTATACGAAATATTTTCCGTTGTCGCATTTTAGTTTTTCTAATGTTTTCATCTCAGCAAGAGATTGATGAATATCATAGCCAAGGATTCGCCATAAAGTCTTGTTGTCATAAGTCATTATTGTAAAAAGCTGAAACATATTTATAAATCTTACATAGTGAAAAAAATACAAATTTTAGTAAGAGTAATTATATCTATAAAAAAAGACGTCCTGTCGAATTAAGCATCCGGAACATATTATTG